CCCTAAACCCTAAACCCTGCAGTCTAACTGTATAAAGAAACCATCTTCAACTTCAACAGGCCGACTCTAAAGCTCCAGAAGTCGGCGTCCACCATCCAAGAAACCCCGGAGCTTCAAGCAAAGCTTCCCAGACCAGCCCTAAGTGGAGTGGAATATGGCTTTTTTAGGGTTCAGGGTTCAGGGTTTAGGGTTTAGGGTTTAGGGTTTGGGTTTTTAATGCAGTTATACTACAACAGGGTTTGGGGTTTAGGGCTTAGGAATAGGGTTCCTTGGTCCCCGGTGCTTCGCTTCCGGATTGGTTGTCGTAAGTTCAGGATCTAGGGGTGTGGGCGGGGCTGGTCGTTGCGAAGCCGAGCCTTAGTGGTTGCCAATGTTTTCCCAGATCAGAGCTCCGTAAGGTACGACACCCCCAGTCTAGTTGTTAAGGGCTCCTGGATCCAAGAAAACCGAATAAGACCCTATTGTAAAGGAATCTTGTTCTAGTTATTAAGGCCTCTATATTATAGATGCCACTGTGCCGGAAAAGTTTCTGGCATGTTAGGTGGGCGGTGTGCGCCGTACAGTTGCATGCTTTTCGCCCTGCTTTGCATTAGATCACCGCCAGCATCTCCAGGTAAGAAAGTCTCGACGAGTTGGGGCTGCTTGCTAGGCTGCTTACGGATTGGGTTCCAATTTAGGGTCGAGGGTTCCCTAAACCCTCAACCCTAGACGCACAGATTGTGCTCCTTGGCACTTGGCGTGGCCCTTGCACCCTTTCTTCCCTTTCTGGGTATCCGACAAGTTAACTTGTAGTAGGGGTGCTAGGTGTGCCCTGTGCCGTAGAAGCTCATCGAGGTGTTTCCCAAAAAACTCATCCTCAGGGTTTCCAGACCCAGGAGTACGGTCTGCTCCATTGACACAGGAACCGCGTGTCTTCGCAAGGCGTATCTTTCTGAGTTCCCCGTCCGGCGCTGTGGGAAGTTGTGCATTTCCGGCACCGTAAAACCCAACGTATCACCAACCCAGAGGAGTGAAAGCTATTCACCGTGGCCATAAAAATAGAACAAGGACTCTGCTGTAGCCTTGACTCGTTGGACGGTGATCATTTCGGCTCAACCAGCGGTGTGCAGCGTAACCCAAAGCTGCTGCCACAATCCATGGCCACACCGTGCCGCCTTATCTTTGCTGTGGCGGTATGCCGCGTCTACACGCAGCCCGTGGCTTGGCGGATTGTGAGTCGCCCACCCCAAACCCTCAAGCCAAAAGCGCCGCTGACCCCCAGGGCTGAATTTGGAATTTCAGTCCTACTCTACACCTGCAGAAAAAAAGATCTGCGCAAATCCGCTTTTTCATATCTGGACTGCAATGTATTCACGAACTGCAGACGGTCAGGGTTTTCGGCGTGACATGAAGATTTAAGATGTGGGGTTTAGGTTTTTCACTTGACCTCTACTGTAGAAGCTCGTTGCAACTTCTCTTCAGTGGGACCATTCAGAACTCGAAATCCGAAACCACCCGAACCCTAAACCCCAAACCCTTAGACAGTGACTCGAAAGTTCGAGGCACCGGATGAGCCCGGCTGCGAATTGGAAGAGGGTTGCACTGCATCCTTCCTGCAGACTACCAGGCCAGGCGGTGTTGCCCTGAAGTTCTGGAAGCGGAAATCACTTTATAGGGGTTTAGGGTTTATAGAGTTTAAGGTTACAGAATGTACTCTGCCCTTTATTGTTCCTATATGAAATATCGGGCACTGATATGATACGGACCCCAAAATCCTATTCTAATCGTTTCCTACAGGGTGAGGCGACAGTCCACCCGAAACCCGGAATCCCGAAACCCTAAACCCCTAAACCCTTAACCCCTAAACCCTTAACCACAAACCCCAAATTCCTAAACCCTCGACCAAGACAGGAGCTTGAAGGCTTCGGTGGCAGAGAAATGTGGCCATCTGACTAATGGCATCGGCGACCCGACGACGTTCTTCAACAACAACTGCAAGAAGCCTGGCGGATATTCAGACCATAAAGCTGATCATGGTGGTTTCTGCGAAATCAGAGTCTTGGGGTCTTCTAAGGAAAAACCTAAAATCAAGATTTTGAAAACCTACGAATCTGGGGATCCTCCTACTGTTCGAGCTCTAAGTCTACAACGTTAACTAGGACGTCTGCCATGAAGTGAAGTGGATAGCCAACCCTGAACCCCAATCCCTGAAACTCAAAGCCCTAAACCATAAACCTGCACCATAAATCAGAAATCCCAAAGCCCCAAACCCTAAACCCGACGCCCGACTGCTCCTCTTTTCTACTTGGAATCCCCATCTGGGCCTGCTTGAGCCTCAGTTGAGTTTAAGCTTTAGGATTTGCGAGCTTGAGTAGTTTGCAATCTTATTCCTTTTTCTACCGGAACTAAGGTATCACAGCCGTCAGGAAGATTGCATGAGACCGATACAGGACGTCATGGCCGAGCATGAGATTGATACTGGGTTGTCGTGAAAGAGGTTTACATTAAACTTCCCTAACCTACTTTGTCCCTAACATATAGTCTTCGGAACCCAAAAAAGTAGGTTTAAAGTAGGGCTTAGGGTCTAGGGGAATGGCATCGAACCCCTAAACCCTCAAGCCTGAATGTCTGGACAATCCTGCACACTATCACCTTGCAGTGTCTTGGAGACGTCAGCCTAGGACGGCTATTGCTATTTCAATGCTACGGCCATGTACATCAGCTATGTTCCCGACGATGTGTCCTTCGTGGAAGCTGCGGCAGCTGCCATTCTAAGCCTGCGCGCGACTTCTAGCAGCCCCGGCGAGACCTATCGAGGTGAAAGCACTGGCCCGGAGGCCGTTTACAACTTTGAAGGCAAAGCCATTTATACCCATATTGATGTCAGTGTCTCGACGGCGTTTGAGGTAGTCCACCGAAGAAGGTCAGCAGAAAAAATGAAACAAATCCTGTTTACAGGTCCCTGTTTCCCTCTTTGGTTTGGAGCAATGACGTGTTTTCAGGCCCTGGAATAATAGCTGAAGGCCCCTAAACCCCTAAACCCTAAAACCCTAAACCCTAAACCCTGGCCCTCTTACCAAGACTTACTACGTCGAAAGACTGTGCAGGTAGATGCCCTTACTTGTACGGTTTTTGCGTACAGCGTACGGCACGCAAACCTCAAGCTGCATTTATCAATTCTGAAGCCACAGAAAATCTGTAATTCGAGCTGCAGGTCACTACGTTTATGACGACTTGTATGCTTACTCTCTCGGCTTCTTGCAGGGACAAGGCATTGACGTCAGGCTCATGGACAACAGTTCTGCTTGGGAGGCACTGTCACGAGAGAAGTGCGATGAGATCCAGGCCATGTACAACTTCACACGAGATGATATGATTCTGAATGAGGTGCTGGATATGAACATGCCGATTTTGGCAATGAGCTACTGCGCGGCGAACATAGAGCTTCCCAGTTTCCTGCAAGTTCCCTACGTTACAGAGAAGTCAAACTACACGAGCAAGCTTGACTGCTCCCCAATCACCAGGAGAGAATTCGCCCGGCACCACTACATGAAGTGCTTGCTTGGATACAGGATCTCCACGGGGAGTTGGGGTGGACCTCATAAGGGTAGTTCTGTGAATTCGGGTCCCCTTTAGGTCCCTAAAATAGTACGGCACCCTTGTAAGAAAGGACCCTAAACGGGACCTTCAATTTACGGAACTACCCGTGTCCACAAAAGGTCCCTTGAACCAGGAACCCTAACCCCCAAGCCTCAGAAGGAGCAACCCTAAACCCTAAACCCTAAATCCTAAACCCTAAACCCTAAACCCTCAACCCCAGGAACTCGGCGATGGACATGGCCTATTTGGTCTCCCGCGCCTGCCTCTTGGACGATGGGCGACTCTGCAGCACAGGGTTTAGGGTTTAGGGTACCATGAATGCCTGTGTGTCTTCGCCATCCTAAGCCTTAAAAAGAGGTATAGAAGCAGAGGACTCCGGCAATATAGGCGCCCAAATAATTTCCAGCACTATTTTTGGATTCCTTGCTATAATTATAGTAAAAGCCCTTTTTGAGCCTTCTTGTAGCTGTTACAGTAAGGCCCCTAGTTACGATATTCGTTTCTGCATTTTGCAAGCATGCTTTGGTCTTTGCGGTCCTGGATGGGTTGTTGGTATTAGGGTTAGGGTTTAGGGGTTGAGGGTCTATGGCCCCTGATGGAAAGCTTTAAGGTTTAGGGGTTGATCTAGGGTGAAAGAATCCAAACACGAGAGCAAATTGTCAGGACGAGCAATCTCAAGATTGGCCATCTCAGTGAGTGTCCATACGCACCCCCTCTGGCATAGCTGGGATGAGGTCGGACTTCTACAATACAGCCGTCATTTAGATGCGACAGTGCCGGGCAGGCAGCAGATATGCGAAGAGACTCGCGGCGGTGTGGTTGGTATGCGACCATTGACTGCTGCTAAACTGGAGTGTGTACAACGTGCAAGATCCGTGGATCGTGCCGCCTCGCCGGTAGCAACAGCGTATTTCTCGCAAACGCCTGGCAAAGACCGTTCTATTCACTCTTATTCTGTTTGTGCTTTTGTTTCATTGTGCTGATGTTCGCCTGGGTGTATGATGCGCTGCTGATTCTTTCCGGTGTAAGTGTTTTCCCCCAGCTGATACTGGAACTCAACATTCAAAGTAACGGCTCGGTCACGGACAGCTTGAGCTGGCAACTTGAATAGAGTGGATACTCTCATTTTCGAAGTGTTCTGATTCTGAACTTCGTGTCCAACCATGTGCTTTACAAACCTTGCGCTTGCAGCTTGTGCTAGGCTTAGGGTGCACCTGAACCCCGAATAACCTACCATTTAAAGGACTTATATAAGGAAATCCTACTAAGGAGCCCTAAAAAGGTCGGTCCTTTGGGGTCCAGGTAAGGTCATATGGGATTCCAACGTGCTGGGTTCGGCCTCGGAGGCTTCCCCCCAGAGGTCTTGATTAGCCACTCTATTAAATACTGTATGATACACAACTAAACAAAATGTTTTTTGATGTAATTTAGGATAATCATTATCATATCATATTTATATAGCCGAATATACTATGGATGATGGCCCGCTGCACTATATCTCAATGCAACCCCTTAGACCCACACCCCAAGACCGTAAACCCCAAACCCAACTTAAACCCCAAACCCCAAACCCTAAACCTTAAACCTAAACCCGAAACCCTAAACCCTACCTAAACCCTAAGCCCTAAACCCTACCTAATCCCTAAACCCGAAACCCCAAGCCCCAAGACCCTAGGCCCTACATCCTGAAACCCCCGCTTCTCACAACTGAGACTCTGAAATCAAAGGCCCCGACGCTCACAAGCACCGCCCTTCCCTGAGCCCAAAAACCCGAGGGTTTAGGGTTTGGGGTTTAGGGTTGAGGGTTTAGGGTTTAGGGTCTAGGACTACAATGGAGCCTGCACAGGGAAACCCGAAATCCTAGCCATATCTGCCGCTCAGGCTCGAAATGCTTCTGGGGAAGCTAAGGGAACCAAGAGTCGAATGGGGTTTAGGGTTTTAGGGTTTAGGGGTTTAGGGTTTAGGGTTTTAGGGTTTAGGGTTTAGGGTTTAGACCCATCATAAGGGTTTAAGACTGTAAGTTTTAGCCAGTTTTAGCTAATGGAGAGGTTGACTCGGGTGCTGACTTTCGTGAAGACAACTGGGTCGGGGCCTTCTCAAACCCCGGATGCTCTGAAAGCCACAAAACCCTAAACCCTGAACCCTGAACTCTAAACCCTAAGCTTTCTTTTTGCTCCTTTTCGCCATGTCGGCAGCAGACTTCGTGACGTGGCTGCAGAAGAAGGCTTTCGGGTTCGGGGAAGGCCTCTTCCGGGGTTTCGGCTCCCTACTCGAGGTTATAGAGAACTATAGGGGCCTAAATAGTTACCAATACTATTTTGGGGGCTCGTTATTATACTTATAGTACAATGGGCCCCAAGACCCTATTCTACTTATTAAGGCCCCTACATTAGCGGTTTTTTGGGGGTTCTCATTACAAGGATAGTGTTGCTTCACACCAAAAACCCGAATTATCTCCAGGCACCTCCATAGCTGGCCAAGTGCTGCCGTGGTGCCGAGGCAAGCGTGGCCGAAGGGAAGCCCTGGCAAGTGCTTCTGTGCGAGGACGCAATCCTTGCAGCTTGGCTGGGGCTCCGATCTGGGCAGTCGAGGCAGTTCCGTCGCATGGTGCCCTTGGGTTGCCTCAGATTTTTCGTTTTGCTGGATGAGAGTCTCCAGAGCCCTAGGCCAGCATTCGGGCCTCCTCTGCTTCTGCCTGCAGGTTGAGAGGTTAGACGGTTTAGGGTTTAGGGTTCAGGGTTTAGGGTTTAGGGTTTAGGGACGGACGCTGATCTATTAGGACTCCCTGTCTCGTGCTGCGGGCATGGGCGGTTCGAGGCACTGAAGAACTTGCCGGCGGTGGACCAGCAGCGCGCGTTTGAGGCGATGGCACTGGCTTCAGGGCTCTGCCTAGAGACAGATCAGTGCAGGGTTTCGATTCTGCTGGGGTTTAGGGTGCAGGGTTCAGGCATTCAGGGTTTGGGGGTTTGGGATTTTGTGTGCCGGTTCAGGGCTACAGCTGCGAACATACACCGAGGCTTCCCACTGTGCACCCTAGCTTCCAAGAGTTAGTCATAATCCTAAGCGCGAAGGCCAAATAGCCCGGAATGTGTTAAGCTTGTAAAGTCTAAATCCCAAACCCTTCAATTCAACAGCGACTGCAGGCTCAATCGAGCCGGTTACCACAGGCAGCAACCACTCGACACCTTACGCCCCAAACCCCGAACTAGCAATTAAACCCTAAACCCTAAACCCTAAACCCTAAACCCTATACCTTAAGCCTTAAACCCTAAACCCTAATCCCTAAACCTAAAAAAGCCTAAACCCTAAACCCTAAACCCCAAGCTCTGCAACCCCCGGCTCTCAACTCGGAGCCCCGAAGCTTCAGACGACCGCCACGGATTGAAACCTCCTCCTCCAACTTCTGAGCCAAAACAATTCGAAGCCCTAGTTACCCGAACCTCTGAACCCAATGAACGGTTTAGGGTTTTAGGGTTTAGGGTTTAGGGTCCTCTAAACCCAATGAACGGCTTAGGGTTTAGGGTTTAGGGTCCTCTAAACCCAATGAACGGTTTAGGGTTTAGGGTTTAGGGTCCTCTAAACGCAATGAACGGTTTAAGGTGTAGGGTTTATGGCTAACGCGGCAGGTGCTCAGCTGCCTGGCAGAGGGACTTCACTGCAGATTGAAGAAGTGTCCTCCTCGGCTCTTGAGAATGTAGTAACGCAGACTCTGTCTTTGTTGATGGCCAAGCCTGCGAATCCCTGCTCGCTAAACCCGGGCCCCTAAACCCTAAAGCCCAAACCCCAAAGGTAAAACCTAACCCGAACCCCCCCGCTTACCCCAAGAAGGAAAGCTTTTTGTTTGCTCTATATCCCAATTACAGTATGTTATGTTAAACCCTAAACCCCTAAACCCTAATCCCCTAAACCCGAATCCCACTAAGCCCTAAACCCATGACAGGAGCCCATCTTAAGGTTTTTGGAGACCTTCAGCCCAGTCTCTGAGGCCATTGGTGAGCCTCAGCAATAAGACCCTGGGACTCCGTGCAGCCGCACTGTCGGATGACCGGGGAATTATCGTGCCTTTGGCTTTCTTTTTGGTATAATAACCCTAAGCCCCTAAACCCTGAACCCGAACCCTGATGTACCGCGATCGTGCCTGAGCATATACTTTTTGCCGCGCGCGTTCTGCCTGCAGTCAACATCAAAGGATGTGAGAGAGAGACCGGGTAGTTGAATCCTACAGCTTCAGCCGTGCACTGTTACAGAATCTTCGCAGTGCTGCTCGTTGTAGATCTAGTGGGTCAGTTTTTGATCATAACCTAGCCCGGAGAATAATAGGTATTGCTATTCCTGACCGTTCCTTGCTTTAGCGATAGTATAAATAACCCTAAACCCCTAAACCCTAAACCCTGATGTGCCCCCAAGGCCCCGCTCTAATAACAAAGGCTCCCATATGCTTGTCTGACTCAGAAGCCCAAGAGCTGCAATCCCTGGAACATCCCTTAAATCCCTAAACCCTAAGTCCTTAAACCGTAATTCCCTAAACCCTAAACCCTGACTCCCTAAACCCTAAACCCCTAAACCCTGAACCCTAACTCCCTAAACCCTAAACACTCTTTATCATTTATGATTTAAACCGTTTTTGGCGTTAGTCCTCGAATCGGGCCAGGGTTTTTAAACCTTGGCCTGACTGGTGGACTAAGGCCGAAACGGTCTTAGTCCACGAATCTGCTCAAGGTTTAGGGCCCCTAACTACTCGTCTAAGCGTGAGATGAAATAGTGCAAACGACAACGTGAAGTCATGTAAGGTGAAGAGAGTCCAACTGTAAATGGAACTCCTTGGTGTAAAAGAACGACCTTTTCATGTTACAATGTCATGGGGTTCAGGGGTGGGGTGGGTGTTCTGTCTGAACGTGAATTAACTCTACTATAAAACTGCTCGATCCGGAGCTGCTGAACCCCTAAATCCTAAACTCTAACTCCCTGAACCCTAAACCCCCAAACCCCTACAGTAAACCCGTAAACCCTAATCCCCTAAACCCTAAACCCCTAAACCTAAACCCTAATCCCCTAAACCCTAAACCCTAAACCCTAAACCCCTAGACCCCTAAACCCCTCCCTAAACCCCTAAACCCCGAAGCCCCTAAACCCTAAACCCCTAAACCCTAAACCCTAAACACGAATCCCACTAAGCCCTAAACCCCTAAACCCAAAGCCCATCTTTAGATGCCAAGATCTACTCCCCGAAGCTCGGGTCTGAAACCGTAAGTCTTGAAGAAGACTGTAAACCCACAACCCACAACTGTTGTTGGGGTTTGGGGTTTAGGGGTGTAG